TCAATGCTATGTGCACTCAATGCAATGTGCAGTCATTGCTATGTGCAGTCAATGCTATGTGCCGTCAATGCTATGTGCAGTCAATGCTATGTGCAGTCAATGCTGTGTGCAGTCAATGCTATGTGCAGTCAATACTATGTGCAGTCAATGCAATGTGCAGCCAATGCAATGTGCAGTCAATGCAATGTGCAGTCAATGCTATGTGCAGTCAATGCTTTGTGCAGTCAGTGCTATGTGCAGTCAGTGCTAAGTGCACTCAATGCAATGTACACTCAATGCAATGTGCAGTCATTGCTATGTGCCGTCATTGCTATGTGCAGTCAATGCTATGTGCCGTCAATGCTATGTGCAGTCAATGCAATGTGCAGTCAATACAATGTGCAGTCAATGCAATGTGTCGTCAATGCTACGTGCAGTCAATGCTATGTGTAGTCAATGCTATGTGCAGTCAATGCTATATGTAGTCAATGCTGTGTGCAGTCAATGCTATGTGCAGTCAATGCTATGTGCAGTCAATGCAATGTGCAGTCGATGCAATGAGCAGTCAATGCTATGTGCAGTCAATGCTTTGTGCAGTCATTGCTATGTGCAGTCAATGCTACGTGCAGTCAATGATATGTGCAGTCCATGCTATGTGCAGTCAATGCTATGTGCAGTCAATGTTACATGCAGTCAATTCTAAGTGCAGTCAATGCTATGTGCAATCAATGCTATGTGCAATCAATGCTATGTGCAGTCAATGCAATGTGTGTTATGTGATGCTATCATTTGCGTTCACGTCTGTCTGCCTCCCATCATGTGTTCGTGCGTTGCATGTGTGAAATGAGCGTGCGCAAGAATTTGTGTTTTTCTGTGGTCTGGATTTTCTGAGTGTGTGTGAATGTTATTTGGCTTGAGCAGATATCTGAAGTGACTCCACTGCTCAAGAGCTTTCCGACGAACCTTGAATCACTTCAATCGGAGCACGAACAAGAAAGTTACGAACGTTGGAGTTCGTATGCTTTTGATATTTGGTTGTGGTGACCATGGAGAGTTGTGGGGTTGAGTCAATATGGGGTACAGACTTTTGGGGGTTGGGAAACTCGTCACTACTACTGTAGTTGCTGCCAATTGGTTGGGAGAAACCAAACCAGGTTGGCAAGTGTGGCCAAGTTGGGTTGAGGTGGGTTGAGGTGGATTGTGGAGGTTGGGATAGTGACAAAGGTCAAAGTTGGGTTGCCTATGGGGAAGGGAATTGTGTGGCATGGAGTTTTGTTTGGTTGGGGACTCCTTGGGACCTTCCCTCTCGTCCTCCTCTTTCCTCCTACCTGGTTTAGTGCTAGTCTTACTCTCTTCTGTGCAACTCTTGTGAACTTGTGAAACTATTGTGAGTGAATTTAAATTTCTATGTGGCAGCATACCCCCTGGTGCGCCGTAAAGCATAACTCGGGATTTACTCCACCTTTCGATACGATTCAAATTGGGAATGATAGCCACGAACAAGGGCTATAACATACTCGAGTTTGAGACGATTCTAACGGTGCACGTTTCGTCGACAACGTTTCTTGTGAAGTCGCGGTTTCTGTCCAGAAATTGAGACCAACGATTTTGAGAAATTTAGGCTCCTAATCTTCACAGACTCGATCCTTAGTCTCTAACAATGTGCAGTCAATGCAATGTGCAGTCAATGCTATCTGCAGATAATGCTACGTGCAGTCAATTCTATGTACAGTCAATGCTATGTGCAGTCAATTCTATGGGCAGTCAATGCTATGTGCAGTCAATGCTCTGCGCAGTCAATGCTATGTGCAGTTAATGCTACGTGCAGTCAGTTCTATATACAGTCAATGCTATGTGCAGTTAATGCTATGTGCAGTCAGTGATATGTACAGTCAATGCTAAGTGCACTCAATGCAATGTACACTCAATGCAATGTGCAGTCATTGCTATGTGCCGTCATTGCTATGTGCAGTCAATGCTATGTGCCGTCAATGCTATGTGCAGTCAATGCAATGTGCAGTCAATACAATGTGCAGTCAATGCAATGTGTCGTTAATGCTACGTGCAGTCAATGCTATGTGTAGTCAATGCTATGTGCAGTCAATGCTATATGTAGTCAATGCTGTGTGCAGTCAATGCTATGTGCAGTCAATGCTATGTGCAGTCAATGCAATGTGCAGTCGATGCAATGAGCAGTCAATGCCATGTGCAGTCAATGCTTTGTGCAGTCATTGCTATGTGCAGTCAATGCTACGTGCAGTCAATGCTATGTGCAGTCCATGCTATGTGCAGTCAATGCTATGTGCAGTCAATGCTACATGCAGTCAATTCTAAGTGCAGTCAATGCTATGTGCAATCAATGCTATGTGCAGTCAATGCTATGTGCAGTCAATGCAATGTGCAGTCAATGCAATGTGCAGTCAATGCTATCTGCAGATAATGCTACGTGCAGTCAATTCTATGTACAGTCAATGCTATGTGCAGTCAATTCTATGTGCAGTCAATGCTATGTGCAGTCAATGCTCTGCGCAGTCAATGCTATGTGCAGTTAATGCTACGTGCAGTCAGTTCTATATACAGTCAATGCTATGTGCAGTCAATGCTATGTGCAGTCAGTGATATGTGCAGTCAATGCTAAGTGCACTCAATGCAATGTACACTCAATGCAATGTGCAGTCATTGCTATGTGCCGTCATTGCTATGTGCAGTCAATGCTATGTGCCGTCAATGCTATGTGCAGCCAATGCAATGTGCAATCAATACAATGTGCAGTCAATGCAATGTGCCGTCAATGCTACGTGCAGTCAATGCTATGTGCAGTCAATGCTATGTGCAGTCAATGCTATATGTAGTCAATGCTGTGTGTAGTCAATGCTATGTGCAGTCAATGCTATGTGCAGTCAATGCAATGTGCAGTCAATGCAATGAGCAGTCAATGCCATGTGCAGTCAATGCTTTGTGCAGTCAATGGTCTGTGTAGTCAATGCTACGTGCAATCAATGCTATGTGCAGTCAATGCTATGTGCAGTCAATGCTATGTGCATTCAATGCTACATGCAGTCAATTCGAAGTGCAGTCAATGCTATGTGCAGTCAATGCTATGTGCAGTCAATGCTATGTGCAGTCAATGCAATGTGCAGTCAATGCAATGTGCAGTCAATGCTATGTGCAGTTAATGCTACGTGCAGTCAATTCTATGTACAGTCAATGCTATGTGCAGTCAATGCTATGTGCAGTCAATGCTATGTGCAGTCAATGCTGTGCGCAGTCAATGCTATGTGCAGTTAATGCTACGTGCAGTCAATTCTATGTACAGTCAATGCTATGTGCAGTCAATGCTATGTGCAGTCAATTCTATGTGCAGTCAATGCTATGTGCAGTCAATGCTGTGCGCAGTCAATGCTATGTGCAGTCGATGCTACGTGCAGTCAGTTCTATGTGCAGTCAATTCTATGTACAATGCTGTGTGCAGTCAATGCTATGTGCAGTCAATTCTATGTGCAGTCAATTCTAAGTGTAGTCAATGCTGTGTGCAGTCAATGCTATGTACAGTCTATGCTACGTGCAGTCAATGCTACGTGCAGTCAATGATATGTGCAGTCAATGCTATGCGCAGTCAATGCTGTGTGTTGTCAATGCTGCGTGCAATCATTTCCATGTGCAGTCAACGCTATGTACAGTCAATGCTATGTGCAGTCAAATATTGCGCAGTCAATGCTATGTGCAGTCAATGCAATGTGCAGTCAATGCAATGTGCAGTCAATGCAATGTGCAGTCAATGCTACGTGCAGTCAATGCTGCGTGCAGTCAATTCTATATGCAGTCAATGCTATGTGCAGTCAATGCTCTGTGCAGTCAATTCTATGTGCTGTCAATGCAATGTGCAATCAATGGTGTGTGCAGTCAATGCTACGTGCAGTCAATGCTACGTGCAGTCAATTCTATGTGCAACCAATGCTATGTACACTCAATGCTATGTGCAGTCAATGCTACGTGCAGTCAATGCTACGTTCAGTCAATGCTATGTGCAGTCAATGCAATGTGCAGTCAATGCTGTGTGCAGTCAATGCTGTGCGCAGTCAATGCTACGTGCACTCAATTCTATGTACAGTCAATGCTACGTGCAGTCAGTGCTATGTGCAGTCAATTCTATGTGCAGTTAATGCAATATGCAGTCAATGCTCTGTGCAATCAATGCTACGTGCAGTCAATTCTATGTGCAGTCAATGCTATGTACAGTCGATGCTATGTGCAGTCAATGCTACATACAATCAATGCTACGTACAGTCAATGCTATGTGCAGTCAATGCCATGTTCAGTTAATTCTGTGTGCAGTCAATGCTATGTGCAGTCAATGCTATGTGCAGTCTATGCAATTTTCAATCAATGCTATGTGCAGTCAATGCAATGTGCAGTCATTGCTATGTGCAGTCAATACTATGTGCAGTCGAGATCACGCTATTGCGGGTACACGATCTTATAGCAATTGCGCAGCTCGATCGCGGTCCCACAGATACGCGATCGCGGCTCGCCATTAGTGCAGCACGATCGCGGCCACGCATTGGCGGGATCGCATCCCCGCAATAGCGCGATAGCGGCCTTGCAGTAGCGCGAACGCCACCAGCCAGAATCGCGGTCCCCACCTCCAGCATCGCGAACGCCACCTGGAGCGCCGCCAAGGCCCCACCTTTTGCAGCGCCAAGGCGCCACCCTTAGCAGCGCCAAGGCGCCACCTTCAGTAGCACCGGAGCGCCACCTTCAGCAGCGCCAAGGTGCCACCTTCAGCAGTGCCAAGGCGCCACCTTCCGCAGCGCCAAGGCGCCACCTTCTGTAGCGCCAAGGCGCCACCTTCAGCAGCGCCAAGGCGCCACCTTCAGCAGCGCCAAGGGGCCATTTTCTGGAGCGCCAAGGCGCCACCTTCCGCAGCGCCAAGGCGCCACCTTCAGCAACGCCAAGGCGCCACCTTCAGCAGCGCCTGAGCGCCACCGTCAGCAGCGCCTGAGCGCCACCGTCAACGCGATATGAACGGGGAGTCTACACAGGGAGGCGGAGATGGGAATGAAGAAGGACGAGCTCTGCCAGGTGCTAGTTTTAATCGACTTCCAACACTTGCAACAAGAGCCACCTTTATGCTGGGTAGTGCTCTACAGCACCCTGTTAAGACCAATGGCGGAGATGCAGGGTGTGAGGAACAAGATTCCTACTGGCCTAGCAGTCCTCCAGCAGAGTGGCAGGTCGGTGGGCAGATGCGTGATGAAACACACGATGACGATGAGTATAGGCCTACTGCAGCGGAGGTCGAGGCAGCGGCGGCAGAGGACTCTGCAGCGGGGGCTGGAGGGGACGCGGATGTGGAGGAGGAGGTGCAAGAGCGGGAGGAGGAGGGTGCTGGCCGCAATGCCAGGGGGCATGGAGGGGATAATGGACGGGGAGGAGGGGGTCGAGGGGGTCGTGGGGGGGGACGGGTTGGTCGCGGGCAGGGTCGGTCTTCTCCGCGTGCGCAGCCCGTAGGCAATGCAGGGGGGCGCAGTGGGGGGCATACTAGCGGCCCCCCAGGAGATGGACGAGGTTGTGGAAGGGTTGGGAGAGTTGCGCATACTACTGCAAGGGCTGGGCGCGGTGGCAGAGGTGGTGAGAGAGCGGCCGAGGCTGCGCCCGATCCAGGGCCAGGGAATGCACCCACTCAACGGTCCGATGGTGTTGGGTCTACGCCGTTGCGTGCTGGTGGCATCAGTCGGGGTGGTGGGACAGCGGGGAGTCGTGGGCGGGTGTCAAAGCGTCAACGAAAGGAGGATTTGCCTAAGGATCCGGTGGTTGAGGGTTTGGCAGAGAAGCACTACCCTGGTTTACTAGTGGGAATGTTTGGTGAGCTTGAGGATGGTTGTCATCCGTGTCGGGTGTGTGGGGACATAATGGGATGGGATGGGGGTAGCACGGGGACTGGGTGGAAGCATGTCAAGCGCGCGCACTACCCTAATGTGCAGATTTGGGTGCGGCGGTTCCTGGACCCAGCGAAGCCAAAGAATCTAGAGTTTCCTTGGGGCGGCTATGGTGTGTCGGGCGATGGGCCACCAGTGCCCAACCCGCACGGTGGTGCATGGGAGCACGCGGCTGCCTGGCCAAACATCCCAGCTGCTGTAGCCGCGACCAGTGGCGCAGGGGGGGGGGGCGAGTGGGAGTCGTAGTGGTGCTGGCATGCACGCGTGCATGAGTCCAAGGGTGTCGCTGGGCGAGTTACGCAGTGCTCTCGTGGAGTTGTTTGCTGATGCAGATCTTCTGTTTCGTTTGGTCGACCGAGCATCGGTGAGTCAATCAACAACTACTCTACCCTCTATTCATGCACCAAGACTCTTAAATCCTGTCTGAACATCTCAGTTGGGTTGGGATGCCCTGGTACACAGTTGGGACAATGCTTTGTGTGTGTTTGCTTCTTTGTCGATGCCCGACCTCATCAGTTCCGTCGATTTGTCTCCTTGCTGAACCCATCAGCCAAGGATTTGGTGGGGTCATGCTACCGTTTGGCACAGGACATGCAAGCATTTAGTGAGGTGGCTCGAGAGGGGCTGAGGCAGGAGATCATTGGCGACGGTCTCGCGGGGAGGGTCTCCCTTAGCTTGGACATCTGGACCAGTGAGAACCATACAGCTTTCATGTGTGTGAGTGTCCACTGGATCACCAGTGACTTCAGGCTGCGTTTGGGGATTTTGGATTTCGTGCAGTTGGAGGGTTTGCACACAGGGTCGCAACAAGACTAGCGGCGTAGTCTAGACGATAGGCAGCAGCAAATTCAACAAGCTCAGCGACCAAGGCAGACGCAGCAGCAGACTCAAACGACAGGTCAATGACAACAGTGGCTAGCAGACGCGTGACAGTAGGGAGAGCAGCACGAGCGCTGTCAGACGCAGGGTCTGAAACGTCAGGCAGAGAAGACGCAAGAGGGGACGGCAGGGGAACACGTTGCGGAGCAGAGGAAGGACACAGGGCCATGAGGTGTGTGCCGGGGACAGCCGGCGGACGCTCACAAGGAACACGACGACCAGTACGACCAGTGCGGACAGCGCCAACAGGCAAGACAGGACGAGACGCGCACGACGCTCAGTAAGACCTCGTGTCTGCTCAGTTGTATGGAGAAGGAGCAGGCAGCGGTGAGCCAAGCTGTAACGGAAGACTAGTAGAAGACGGGAGACTAAGAACCTGGCAAAGCACAGTGTCAGGTGGTGGTAGAGACGAAGGCGACGGCGGAGCAAAGAACAGTCGCGACTGTGCAGTGCCACCAGCACCAGTAGCTCCAGCACCTCAAGCAGCTCCAGAACCTCCAGCTCCAGCGCCTCCAGTGCCAGCACCTCCACTAGCTCCAGAACATCCAGCAGCTCCAGAACCTCTAGCGCCAGCACCTCCAGTACCAGCACCACCAGCAGCTCCAGAACCGCCAGCGCCAGCGCCTCCAGCGCCAGCACCTCCACCAGCTCCAGAACCTCCAGCGCCAGCACCTCGAGCAGCTCCAGAGTCTCCAGCGCCAGCACCTCCAGTACCAGCACCTCCAGCTGCTCCAGAACCTCCAGCGCCAGCACCTCCAACAGCTCCAGAACCTCCAGCAGCAGCACCTCCAAGACCAGCGCCACCAGCAGCAGCACCCCCGAACCGGCACCCCCAACTCCAGGGCCTCCAACCTCAGAGTCGACAGCAGCACCTCCAGGTCCAGCAGTACCTCCAGCCCCAGCAGCTCCAGTACCTCCAGTACGAGCACCTCCGGGACCAGCGGCTCCAAGAACTTTAGTAGAAACACCTCCAGTAGCAGAGTCACCAGCTCCAGCGCCTCCCGCAGTAGGGCCCCCAGCTCCAGCACCGCGACCCTGACGGCGAACGTACCACTCACACAACTGCTGTGGGGAGAGAGGGACAGTGCCAGCTCCAGTGCCTCCAGCCCCAGCGCCTCCCGCAGCAGGGCCCCCAGCTCCAGCAGCGCGACCCTGACGGCTGACGTACCACTCACGAAGCTGCTGTGGGGAGAGAGGGAGACGCCGACGAGAGTGCTGCGGTGAGGCACCAGCGGAGCGACTACGGAGACGGGCGCTCCAAGGAGACTCCTCACCAGACGCCTCAGTGCCCCCAGGTGGAGCACCCCCAGACTCAGTACCCCCAAGCTCAACACGCACAGGTTCAGCACCCCCAGGCTCAGCTACCCCAGGCTCCGCACCCCAGGCTCAGCACCCCCAGAAGCAGCACCCTGAGCAGGACCACCCCCAACAGGACCTAAGTCACCACTGACCTCAACCGGCTCAGGCAAGGGAGGAGGGTCTACCTGAGACACACATGAAGGAGCAAGACCGGGAGCGAGGAGGGAGTCTACCTGGGGAGGACCTAGAGCGAGGAAGAGCGACGGGGGGGGGGGGGGGGGAGAGGGGCAGTGCGATAGGGGGAGAGACGGTAAAAGGGAACCGACTCGTCGAACGTGACGTCCTGAGAGGGGAAGACACGGTGCGAGGTGGGGTGGTAAAACTGCCAGCCATGCGCGTCAGGGACAAAGCCAAGGAAGACACAGTGAACAGCGTGGGTGGAGAGCTTGTTCGCGGTGGTATCGCGGACAAAGGTACGAGAACCCCAGACCCGGAACACCGATGCATCGCCAACCTTCCCCGTCCACCGCAGTGTGGGCGAGGTCTCCAGCGAGGAGACACGGGGCCAGAGGTTGAGCTGATGCGCAGCGTAGCGGTCCACAAACGGCCACAAAAAACGGGGGGTAGCTGCATGGACCATGGAGGTACGAGCGACCGCCATGACCAAGCCAATGCGGCGCTCAGCAAACCCATTCTGCTGCGGAGAGGCCGGAAGCGTGAAAGTCTGGCGAATGCCCTCCCCACGACAAAAGCTCTGCAGAAGGTCGGAGGAAAACTCTCCACATCTGTCAGAGTGCAGACGCAGGACGGGAAACTCCGTTCCGAATCGCTCGCGGAGCTGGAGACGAGCAGCGCGGATCCAGGGGATCAAAACATCAGGGACCTCATCCTTGGTGCGCAAGGGGAAGACCGCGGTGTAACGCGAGTAGTCGTCAACAACCAGCAAGAAGTACCGCTCGCGGTGTCAGAACATTATAGCTGATACATGTTTGTAGGCTGTAGTGGGGTAGCACATATGGGGTACAGATTCCTAGGGTTTGTTATTTGTACCAATTTCTGACTTAGTCATTTCATTCCTCTTCTCATTTGTTTCACATGGTATAGAGCTAGGTCCCTCCAGGACCGATTTTTTTTTGGGCCCACCGAAGCGCGCCCCGAGGCGCGGTTTTTTTTAGCGACCCCTCGAGTCGCCCTCTCCCCTGCGGCCTCCCCGCCCACTCTGTCGCGGCCCCGCCCTGACCCTTACGCGGCCCCGCCGCCTGCTCCTTACGCGGCCCCGCGTCGGCCCCCTTACGCGGCCCTTACGCGGCCCCGCGCCGGCTCCTAAGCGGCCCCGCGCCGGCTCCTACGCGGCCCCGTCCCCGGCTCCTACGCGGCCCTGTCCGCCGGCCCCTTACGCGGCCCAGCCGCCGGCCCCTTACGCGGCCCCGCGCCGGCCCCTTACGCGGCCCCTTACGCGGCCCCGCGCCGGCCCCTTACGCGGCCCAGCCGCCGGCCCCTTACGCGGCCCCGCGCCGGCCCCTTACGCGGCCCCGCGCCGGCCTCCTACGCGGCCCCGCCGCCGGCTCCTACTCGGCCCCGCGCCGGCTCTCACGCGGCCCCGTCCCGGCTCCTTCACGGCCCTGTCCGCCGGCTCCTTACGCGGCCCTGCCGCCGGCCTCTGCTCGGCCCTGCGCCGACCCCTGCGCGGCCCTGCCGCCGGCTCCAACGCGGCCCTGCCCCGGCTCCTAAGCCGGCCCTACCGCCGACCCTGCCGCCGGCTCCAACGCGGCCCTGCCCCGGCTCCTACGCGGCCCTACCACCGGCCCCTTCGCGGCCCCGCCCCGGTCCTCTTACGCGACCCCGCCGCCTCACCTGCAGCTGTCGGGCGGCCGGGCAGCCGAGCCGCCCAGTCGCCGAGCCGCCCGGGAGCCGAGTCGCCCTGCACCCGAGCCGCCCGGGAGCCGAGCCGCCCGGGAGCCGAGTCGCCCTGCACCCGAGCCGTCCGTCACCGAGCCGCCCGGGAGCCGAGCCGCCCTGCACCCGAGCCGCCCTGCCGCCGAGCCGCTCGGGAGCTGAGCAGCTGTACACCCGAGCCGCCCGGTCGCCGCTCTGCTTTTCTGTCGAGCTGCACGGCCTGCCCTGCCTGGTGAGCACAGTCCCTCTGTCACTGCGCCCTCTTTCCCTACTGCTTGCACTGCTTCGCTGTCGTCATCATGGCCACCCCTAGTGTCCTAGCCTTTGACGCCGAGGGTCGCGCCATTGATTTTGAGGTCTGGCTAGATGACCTGCAGCTTTTCTTACAGTGCGACAGAGCTGACAGTCTTTCTCTCTTTGACCTCACCTCTGGCGCCTCTCCTGCTCCTGCTGCCGATGCTGATCCCACTGTCCGCTCTCAGTGGGCCACCCGCGATGCTGCTGCACGTCTTGCTGTGCGTCGCCACCTCCCTACCTCTGAGCGTGCGCATTTTAGTCAGTACAAGAGTGCTCAGACCTTGTACGACGCTGTAGTTGCACGCTACTCCTCTCCTGCCACTGCTGCACTGAGCCGTCTCATGCTTCCCTACCTCTTTCCTGACCTCTCTGCCTTTCCCACTGTCGCTGACCTCATTACGCACCTCCGCACTAGTGACACTCGCTACCGCGCCGCCCTTCCTGCTGAGTTCTGCGCTAAGAACCCCCCCCCCATGTACATCACTCTCTACTACGTAGTCGCACGCCTCCCTGACTCCCTCCGCGTAGTCAGGGACCACTTTCTCGCAGTCTGTCCCACCACTCTCACCGTCGACCTCCTCGAGAAGGCCCTCCTCGCAGCGGAGAAGAGCATAGTCGCTGTCGGTGCCTCTCGTGGTGACCCTCGCACCCCCATCTTTGAGGGGTGCTCTCCTTCCCCCTTGCTGCCCTCTGTTGCCTCTGCTGCTGCGGCCGACCTGCTTGGTCTTGAGTCGGTCGGCGCGGCGTCTGCCCCTAGTGGGAGACGTCGCTCTGGCAAGGGCAAGGGGGGCAAGGGCGCGGGCGGAGCTGGAGGGGGCGGTGGCGGTGGCGGCGGAGGCGGCGGAGGGAGTGGGGGTGGCGGCGGGAGTAGTGGT